ACGAGGACATTTCAGAGCAATAAAATTATTATGTGTGCCGACTTGTATTGTTACACTCCACAACATACTTTGAAATCTATACAACACATGAACTTTCATTTACTCAATGTCAAAGGCAAACCTGGATTTCCAACTTTAGCGAGTAGAGCTTATCATTGTAAGTGATATGAACTACGTGTTGTCTTCTCTACGCAACTGGCTCTATTAGTTCTGAAGCATTGGCCAGATAAAAATTGAGAGGTCACCATAATCTCATTGTTTTGTGAGCCAGTGAATAAAATCGTGCTGTTTTCCTCCCTAAACTTGTAACAAACACTTTGAAGGTTGGGGCGTGTGCCTATCAGGGATAAAGAGGCCTTTTATAGGGATCAAGAGGTTATAGACGTAACAGTGCATCAGCGAATATTCAAGTTTTCCAAATTTAGTAATGCTTTTCTTAGAAAACGCCACGCCAAACGTCCTCCGGCATTTCTGTGGGGAGAGGGGGGAGTTGTTGTGTGGGTGGCTCACGCAAACATGGATGGGACTCGCGATATAAATTCACTTACCGAGACCACAAACAGCATTCACAACGGACAGGACGAACAGGAACAGTGCTTCCGTGCCGTGTTGAACGTCCCAAAACTCAAGAGAATCTGGAGAATGAGGATGAAGACACCATAGACCATTCGACGCTCAACTAACCAACACAACAACGCTCGCAAGTCGACGTCGATCGACGATCGGACACAGCAGAAGCAAGCAAAGAGCGTCAGCCGGGAGGAGAAGGAGTGGGGAGGAGCGGGTTCGGGGGTACAGTCTGCTGCTTTGAAAAGGCGTATTTATGAAAAAAGCCGAGAAGGTGCAGAAATCCAACTTTCTTTTTTAAAAGTTTTTGAACCACATGTATCGTTTTGAAAACGCCGTTCCAGTTTCGCAAAACTTTATTAAAACTCGAGGACTGCTTTTACGGCGATCTCCGTCTGTGGTTCCGGTACTTCAACCGGAAGTTGATGGTGAACTGCAGCAGCACGCAGAGGTAGGTGACCAGCTTGTCCATGATCTGCGAGGCAACGGTAAAGGTAACGGCCAAATTATCAGCAGCAGTTAGTATCACCGGGGAGAAAATAGGTGTGATAGGTAAGAGTGTTGCTCACGGTGACGATGAGGGTGAGTCTGAGCGTGATGAACCCGTACAGCGTGACGATCGTGGGCCTTTGCATGACCTTGAGGAAAGACGCAACCTGCAAAGTCGAAATACAAAGATCATGAGAGTACTCCATGCAAAGATAGACGTTTTTTTGCCTAATGGAATAAGCTTTATCGTGGCCTGGAACTGTGGTGAGTGGTGTCGTTTGGCCTAAGGACTCCACCTCTGTCTGGAGCGTGGTGAGGCTCCGGCTGCGCGCGCGGTGAGCCCGGTGCGGTGAGCTTTCGCCGCTGGTGCGCATGGCGAGCAGCACGTCCCTGGCGCCGCCGCCCACGCTCGCGGCCATGCGGTGGCCCGCCCCGCACACCACCGCCGTGTGCCACAGCGAGTCCACCGTGATGAGCAGCATGGCCGAGGCCATCAGCAGGTTGGCGTCGGCACCCTGCGTGCGCCAACAGCGCCCCGGGATGGACAACAACACACATTTCAGACGCGAAAACGAAGCCTCGAAGAACCGCTGAAAGTTCACGATGACGATGAGTGCTAGTTATTTGACGCAAACATGAACATTCTTCGCCCGCTCCAACATGTGAGAGTGGCACCTGGGACAGGTCCCCTCGAAAGCGGACAGGGGGGCTCATCTCATACTCTCCCACGACGCGCTTTGGCTCGAGCCCAAACCGATGGAGACCGCCTCCCTTTCCCGCGAGGAGGTGCGACTTTATTTCGGAGATTGGGAATGAAAGTGAATGGCCAGTGAGCAGCAGCGAAAACGTATAATGCCCAAGGGAATGACTCGAGGCAGGCCGTGTTGCGTCCGAGCGTGAGCCGCACAGGCCGGCCCGCGCCGCGCCGCCTTCACAAGGGGGTCGGACTTTAGGAAACCACTCTAAAGTGCGTACAAAGTGCACTCACGCACCTCCGTCGCCTCTGCCATCAGCCCGAAGCCGTTGAGGAGCACGGCGGAGACGCAGCACAGCAGGTAGTGGATGGTGCAGGCGCCCCAGGTCGCCGTGGCGCGCTCGGCCAGCTCGCGCAGCCCCAGCCACAGGTCGCGGTAGGCGCGCACCCGGCCCGGCTCCGGCGCGCCCCCCGCCGCGAACACCTCCTGCACTCTCCCAGTTATAGTGTACTTCGGCCAACGGAGGAAGAAGAATAGCGGGTAGAACAGAAAGGCTCCGGGCTGTTCGAGGCTTTACCCCCCACTTGACGCAGAAGCGGGAAGCTCTCGACCAATCAGGGACACTTACTTCCTCCTTTAGCCGAAATACAATATCGGAAGACTAAAATTATGATCAGGGTTCAACTGCAGTTAACGTGCTGCCGTAACTGATTGTCTTCGCCAGACAATGAATGAGAACATTTTTCTTCAAAAACTTATTAATCAATTTTTCTTTCTTTTTCCACGGCAGGAAAATTGCCATTTTCGGTGACTGGCCTTGCCCGCGGCCTCGCTCACCTCCTCCAGGTGGCGGCTGAGGGTGTCGGAGGCGTTGACGACAGCGGTGCCCAGGACGTCCCAGAAGGAAGGAATGACCGCGTGGAACGTGGCGGCCATCAGCCCGAGCAGGGTGTTGTGCCAGTTGTTGCCGTCGAAGGTGAGGAGCAGGGCCACGGCCAGCAGCAGCGGCACCGCGACGGCGGCCGCGCCCTTGTGGGAGGCCAGCGGGCGCACCCCCAAGCGCAGCGGCCGGCCCGTGACCGCCAGGTACGTGTCCTGCGGGGAGCACGCCGGGCACGCTGTCAGCAGTGGGCCCTTGCAGGCTACCAGGCCCGTCGAGCATCGCTGATGTCACCGCTCTGCGACAACTCAGACTCAAACCAGTTCACCAAGTCCCGAGGCGGGGAAGCCCTAAAGAGCCAGCAACTCTCACTGCTTTGCAAAAATATAAAATTCAAAACAATAAACAAATAAAAAGCTGCGGAATACTTGGCATTTATTCGGCTCGATTTTCTACTTTGGTTTATGATCTCCGCGATAACTCGGATTACACTTGGATTATCAGTGTTTCCAAGAAAGTATACCCCCCAAAAATGGCACGAATATACCCTGAGAGCAGTGGGCTGCATCTGCCTGTCTGCCTGGCAACACCTTGGCATGGGCGTAAGAATGTTGCCTAGTTGACAGGCGTAAACGCAGCACGCTCCACACGGTTGTACCCCGTGTCAAGGCTACGACCCAACAGTGTGTCAGGTGTGCATACCCTAGGGGTCATGTCATCGTGGTGCGCGGAACTCGCGACCGCCTTCACCTGATAGTCTTTCCAGTCGGAGAGGTAGTCGGCGAAGGCGGGGGCGGCCCTCCAGTGGAGCACGGGCGTGAGGAAGTGGTGGTGCACCAGCATGAGGAAGAAGATCTGGAACACGGCGTCGCTGAACTCGGCCGCTCCGCGCACCAGGCCCGCGCGCTCGCGCACCTCCACCAGGGCGTCCACGACGGTCAGCGCCCACAGGGCGGCCGAGAGCGCGGCCAGCGGGGAGCGCGCTGCAAAGCACGTGACGCCGCCGTCCGCGAGGAAGCCTGGGCAGGGCAACGGGCCACCGCGGTGGTCAGCGCAGCGCGGGCCGCCCGCCGCTGCGCCGCGCTACAGTAGTGTGCCAGTGTCAGACTCACGGAGAGGCATGATGTTGATGCCCCTCATCACCAGGAGGATGGGCTTCATCTCCTGGGCCAGCGAGAGCACGCGGTCCTGGTGGCCGCCCATGGCGCCGCGACGTCCCTGCGGAGAGGAATGGCGCATCGCGGGCACGAGACAAACCCCCCGCGCCCGGCGGCGCCTGGGCCGCGGCCGTGATCGACAGGACAGCTAATGGAGATTTCATGACGCCCTCCAACCCTATCGCACCCTCGCCGTGTTTGCTCTGCACGTGCATCGACCGGGCCTGCTGCTGCTGCAGCGGCCGCGGCAAAGTACTCCAAGCCGCGGCAACGATACGTTTATCTCACCTGGGGGGAAAGCAGCAGCGCGTGGAACGGAGGGGTTTGATGGCGACGACGAGCTGCCGCTGCTGAGCTGCGGCCGCGGCCGGCCGGGACCACTGCCTATCGGGGCGGCTAATCGGGCCGGGCCCGGGCGGGACCCCGCGGGCTGCGTGCGAGCGCCCCGCTCTCTCCGCGCGCCCCTCTCGTTCGCGCCGCCGCGGCCGCCGCCTTCCCTCCGGGGTGGCCGTCGAGCGCCGCGGAGGCAGTCTTCCAGGCCCAGGTGTGACTGCTCGGCCCCGCCCCGCCCCGCCCCGCCCGGCCCGCTCGCGATTTGCCCCCTTATTAAAGCCACGGCGGGTGCGAGTCGCCACCAAAACAGGCCCGACCATGCTCGCGTTCAAGACCCTCGTCGCGGTCGCCCTATTGGTGGCCGCGGCCACCGCCGTGGAGGTCGTCGAGATTCCCGCAGAGGAGCTGCGGTCCGAGCGTGAGTAGTAGACCTACCTGTCCGCGGAGTCGACGTCCTGCCCTCTGCTGTCCGCTGGACGAGTGTCTGATAGAGTGTGATTCCCTGCGCCAGCCGCTGCGTTCGAGGGCTTCCCTGCCGGCGTGCCCAAGATGACGTGCAGCAGGAACGCCAAGGACAAGGAATTCGTCAACCGCTGCATCAGGAACAACTTCCAGTCCCTGCTCCCTGCGATCAGAAACGGTAGGCCAAAAGTACAACATTGTCAAGCAATACGACGAGCACGGTGAAAAAAAGAGCGAGGATGGCGGGTGGTTTTCCCCTTCTGGTAGAGACAGTCTCGGGGGCTGTCTATCAAAATTTCGGTGCCACAAGCTGCTAACACAGCAAATACCAGGTGGCTGATTCACGCCGCATACTTTCGTAGTTATACTGTACCGCTTGCACGGGTGCGAGCGGGTTTGCCTATGCTCGCTGCCCACGGCCCACGGCTCCTTATGGCCCCGTGCGAGTAGGCAACCCGCCCGCACGCGCGGTACAGTATAACTATGAAAGTGCGCAGCGTGAATCAGCCAGTTGGTATAGAGTTAATCTTACTCGTCGTAATGTTTCTTCACCTTTTAACTGAGTACTCATTGCAGGTGGTACGTTTGGCCTGCCCAACCTGGACCCCTACCACATCAAGGACTTGGCATTGAAGGTCAAGACACTTCCCATTAGCTTCCACGTCTCGTTCACCAACCTTTCGGTATACGGCATGCCCGATGGTATTATCCGCGACGCCAGGTAAGATTGCATGACCGATTATAGGTATTACCGAAAGTACTGGTAAAGAAAACTTCAGTCGTTTCCTCTCTGAAATAAGGTCTGATCTGACGGATGATGGAGTGAACATGGACATCGGCGTAACCTTTCCCAAGCTGACTTTCAAGGGCATCTTCGAATTCACCAATGGTGTCTTCGCATCGTGGAACTTCAAGGGACGTGGCCCCTTCGACGTCACCTTCCGTAAGAGAGCTGCTCAGTTCCGCTAGCACGGTGAAAATGAGAAGTGTCTTACAACCTTCCCTGATTGCAGTCAATACTCGCGCCACCTGGAGGCTCAGTGGCAAGAAGAAGGAGGGGGATACGCACATGACCATTGAACGCCTTGCGCCCCTGTTGCCGTACACCGTCGGTGGCATGAAGTTCTGGGCGAAGGGACTAGTGGACGGCACTCCTGCCCTGGGTAAGTACCAGAGGGAATGCCCGTGGCGTACTTCACTGTAAGTCCAAGCGTACACCAATTGTTCTTCTTTTTTCTTGATTTGTTTCTGATTCTGGATGAGTGTCTGATTTTTTTGTTGATGTTTTATTGTGTTTTTTTCCCAATGTTTTTGAATCCCCCCTTCTTT